TGTTGTTTACAAAGTAACCTTACATTGTGTGAGTATATAAATGGGCATAATGTGAGATATTATTAAAATATATATCCTTACTGTATGGGAGTAAAGCTCAATCATTCAGGGCGAAAGCTTAATGTAAGGTTGTGTATAGTAGAAAATTAGTTAGTTGGGTCTGAAATTGAATAAAATTTCAACTGCTGAAATTCAACTCTAGTAGTTACTTAGAAATAAAATTTTACCTGCAATGAGAATTCTTTTTGAAGTCAATTTGAATTTGATATGGTTTCAACAAAATGAACCTCCAGCTCATTTTTACCATCTTTTTGACTTCATCAAATTTTAAGTTTTATATATGGTTCAACTCGTATTGAAGTGTAGATTCTAATAATAAATAATATACAGGGTGTTGCATTTAAAAATCCAAAATGATCAATAGTATCAGAGAAACAGTACATTTGGTCCCATTATTCATTTACGAGAAAATTAGTAGCTTCCAGACTTTTCTCTCGTTTCATGATATATACAATTGTTATACCAAGTTTTTTAAAGGTGACCAGCATATTATAATAGTTCTCGGTTATATAGATGTCGAAGGAAACGAAATAGCGGAAGAGGCGTCTACTGCGATTCTGATGTACACATTCCATGTTATTTCCCATTCCTTTTCAGTTTGAGGCATCTATAATAAAATATATGTTAATTTTTTTTCTCATATTTCTATGACCAATGATTTATTATTCCTTTTTTTGTACATTTTTTTGACATTGACCGATATCAATGATGTTCTTGATACTACCAGTCGAACAAGAGTAAATACAACATTACAACATTAAATTTTACCCAAAATATGGAGCAAAAAGCTAAAGGTAGGAAACCAGATAATGTAGATTTTTTGTTGCAAGAAATCACAAGTATTATGTCAAATATGGCAATACTTGTAACTGACCAACTGAAAAGTAGTTCATGATGAGGACGATATAGATGATTTTATAGGCAATATACTCTCTGTTGTTGTTAATTCCAGCTTGGTACAAATAACAGTTTTTGTTGCTGATTATTAATTTGCTTATAGTTGAAATTCACTGGTGTTATCGCCGACTCACAACTATCAGAATTCATCGACAGCATACGTGGAGCATTAATTCTTATTTTATTGCGCAGGCTGCTTACATAGATACAGCAAATTTTCTCTTGAGCGTTTCTAAATCCTCTAGTCTTTCCAATTGAATATATTCACATTAACAGAGATAACGCATTAAATATTTTAAATCTGTAGATAATGCGGTTTTCTTGTAAATATTTGTTTTAATTAACAACTCATTTGCAGACAATGTAAGAGTTGTTAGTAAGTTTTAATGCTGCCTTGATACGTTTACTAACTGAGTATCGATTTTCAATGGTGGTCAATTCACGAGAGGCAATCTAATTCCAAACTCCATCAAAACAACTTTTAATAATGTTAATTAAATATGGGTATGAAGTAAACCTTCGTAAAATTCAATTAGTATGTAAAGTAAAATCGGGTCTAAACTAAATTTTATAATGACGGAATTTTGTAACGTGGAAAGAATTTTAATTTTGAATTATCGGAACAAATACCAAAAATAAAAATATAGAATTTCCAAAGAAGAGAATAAATCGTATAAGAATGTGGGTTTACTATAAAATTCTTAGAACTAACTTACGCTAAAAGGTTCATGAGCTTCCGTTTTCTTTAGTTTACGCTTTTTCTTTTCTTTGGATGGCACTGCGAAATGTGTTATCCCCTTGGCTGGATTTAACTGCAGGAATAGCTGTATTTGTTGGGAATGTTGCGAGTACGATATAAATGCAAAACACCCTTTTCGGATAATCAGTATCACTTTTCTGTTGGTAAATACCACATTGATTGTAAATTTATTTCAAATTTATGTTTATAAACTGAAATATATGTAATTTTAAAGTGGACACTTCATAGCAGCTACCTAGATTTTATCCACCTATATTCCTAATGCTTTTACATCCTTGATTTTCTATTTGATTGATTTTAATTCAATCTTTCTTTGTTCTTTAATTTCATAAAATTCGTGGTAACTCCATTTCTTTTATACTTATTTTCGTCATTGATTTATTTATACTCGCAGCTCCTTGAAACAACCATGGTCTTTGGGCTATAACCTATTAAATTCAACTTTTCATTGTTTTAGTCTGTTTTAGTTTTTTGATCCAGGTCCTGAAAATCTTTTGAAGTATTTATAAAAGAGGTGTCATCTACATATAGACACATAGAGTCCGCCTGTATATTTTGAGGCAAGTCATTGATGTACAATAAGAATAAAATGGGACCCAGCACGGTACTCCCATTTCAACCTTCCTCCAATTAGATGTTGTTTGATTCCAACAAACCTGTTGTTGCCTATCATGAAGATAAGAACCGATAAGTTTTTTTCCGTTTTCTTTTATACCTAATTTTTCTATTTTCTTCAAGAGAATATTATGGTCTACAGAATCAAAAGCCTTGCTCATATCACAGAAGGCTATTTACGTGTAACGTTGCATATCAAAAGCAGCTATTTTCTTCTGCATTACAGTAAGAAGTGCTGTCATTGTTGATTTTTTCTGTTGGTACCCGTGTTGATATATTGTTATTAATTTCTTTTCCATTATATCGTTTCATGATTCTGTTCTTTATTATAGTTTCAAAGACTTTAGACATTATTGGTACTACTGATATCGGTCTATATTTACTTTTATCATTTGGATCCCTAGTTTTTGAATGGGAATGACTTTAACATACTAATTATTACATCACATACTTTAATTCATTTGGAAAAGATCCCTCTCTTAAGCATTTGTTTAATAATATACATAATACTTCTGTTATTGTTGGTTTTATGTTCTGAATTAATTTTGTGTATTTGTCTTATTCAAGTTTTTCATTATCTTTTCCACCTCTTCTTCTCCAATTTCTTCTAGTTGCATTCCTTCTTGTTCTTCAATTTGCTCAAGCCCAATAGGATCTTTTATTTCCATATTGATAGTTTGAGATTTACAACTGTTTACTAAATATTGATTTAGGTCATTTGCACCCAGAAGAGAATTATTTTCTTTCTTGCACCCTGTTTTTCCAGTTTCCTGCTTCACTATATTCCAGGCAGCAGTTATTTTATTTTCTGAATTCATCATAAATTGTTCATAAGCTTCTTTTTTTGTATTATCTATCAGTGTTCTAAACTCACGTTTTTTTATTTGATATTCTTTGTATTTCTTTTCTTTCGTTACTTCAGCTATCGTGTAAATAGCATCTAAAGTGTTTTTCATCTTTGTTAGATCATCTGAATTCATTTTAGTGTTGCAACATATAGTACATGTTTATATGTTTTCTTTTTTATTGTTATTTCTCGGAAAGCAGACTGATAACACGATGTAATTATTTGGTGAAACTTTGTATAACTGGTTTGCGCATCAGTGTTTTGAATTTATTTATGAAATATCTATTGTCATCTGAACACACTCCACATATCACGAGGAAAGCGTATAGACTATTAATTTTAAAATGTTTTAAATTGCCTTACAATAATGAACCAAAATGGCATTTTAAAAAGCATTTTATATAAAATATACTCTAAGTAGTTGCAGAGTAAACTTAAGGAAGTACAGGTGACAACAGGAATTCGTTTATTAAAACTCCCCATCAGTATTGCAGAGTTAAATAAACCACATTTTGCTAAAAGTTGGTACCCATATTAAGAAATAACTCGCCTCCACTATCCCCATAGTACGGTTCCAAGTAAATTTATACTGTTCGAAACGGGACCCTACTAGAATACCGAGTTGGCACACGAATATTAAACCGGCTTGGGGTGGCAAATAGCAGCCGTTCTTCGGGTGCAAAAGGTCTTGCAGCGGGAGTGCACGCGTTCTTGCAAGCTTGAACAGGTTATCCGGACCAAAATGCGCAACTTGACGTTGGCAAACCGAAGCGTGAAAATGCAATAACATGAGTTACTGGATATATGGCGCGGGATTTGTCATTGCCACATGAAAAATATACTTATATATATATTTATATATATAGAAGAGGGCTATAACAGCTGTCAGAAATGAAAAGATTGATGGCTAGTAGGTCGAAGAATTCGTAAAGTTGCTGAAAGCTTTTGTATTTGTCAAGATTTTATTTATATCAAATATGTTTAAGGAATAAAAATGTATACTTCGTTTTAATTCATTGCTTTTAATAAACATGACGCATTACTTTGTCGATAAGTTATTACTATTGATCGTCCGATATTCGTCAGTTTGTTCAGTCCAGACGTGGAGGCGGTATATGTTGAAAAATATTTTCTCAAGTATCCCGGTAAAATATGATGGCAATTTTTGAAATGCCAGCGCGGGCCAGCGTTTCCGCGTGCGCGTTTGAAAGATACCTACAGCTGTTGCACTATAAATTCGCGATGTTTTGGTCGTCGTTTTTTGATTCCTCTCATAGGTGCAGCACCTGATCTCATACTTTATTCATGATGACAAGTTTTCGCGGACGTCCGTCGGGAAGCGTGCCGCCGTGAAAAGTCCCTGCGAAAACTTTACCAGCAATAAATTACGTCTGACAATAAGCTCAGCGCGTTCTTACACCTCGCTAAATAAAAATAAAAATCCGTTGTTTGTTTCCCGATCGCGTTAATATTCCAGACGACGCTTTCGAATACCACCGCAAAACGCGTATCGATTTCGTTTCTTTGCCACTGCTGCAAGCTGTCTCTTACGACGACTACGACGACGGCATCATAAATTCTCGCAATAAACTTTATTAAGGGACAGTCTGGAGAATGACTGGAAAAAACTTCAATTGCAAAGTTTTATAGTTCCCTCCCAGCTTTATGATCGTAGGTAATTGGATGTTGGTTTAATGCTGCTTAAAAGTACTTTACCACGTGGTGCAAAGAAATTATGACTATAAGCGGTACTATTTTGATCATAATAGTCACGTAATTCTGATTAAACAACAGATTGGTTGTTACAAAGAAACAAATAAATCAATTTAACAGAATTTTACTAAATTTACATTACAAGTATACAATACACAAGTATGAGTGAGAAACATCATAAAATAAGCATATAAAATTAATATTACTTTAAAATGTTTAATTAAGAACATAACTTTAATAAAACAATTAATAATTTTCAAAGGTAGTGTTTGTGATATTAATATCAAACATAGGAGGACTGTTTTCATCCCTCGTTCTGACTAGAATCCTAGTTTTCCGGAGACTATAAAGCGGTCCACCGAAGTCGCCCCAGTACACGCCCTGATAAATAAACTGTTCGGGAAGTCTCCCATTCAAGTAGCGTCCGTTCAAGTTGGTGGTGTCGCAGCTGCGGTACCACCAGCCGCCACCTGCAAAATGCGAATTTTACATTTTCCATACTGCCCCTGCAACACTATAAACCGTATTAAACGGGGTACGAACGCGCACTCGACGGCAAACCGCAAACAGCAACTGCCGATGAAAATAATTCTAGCCGTTTCGGCCCTAATTAGAGTTCGCCAGTTGCGCTGCACTGTTTGCGTTTAATTTGTCATTTTGCGTGGTCACAACAACGGTCCACGGTCGGATCAGGTCGATGATTTGTCGTCGACAACATTGCGGGGTAATTTGTTTTACCTTTATAACGACTGAATCAACGAAATTTTGTTTTATTACGCATGTTTAAAATGAAACTATATTAAGTGAACAAAAAAAATTAAAATTAAAATTTCTTTACCATGAGATAATGCGCAACTTCCTTCTGGCCATACATCGTTATCTATATCCTTGGTGCTAAATTTATTCCCAGCATGGTATATTAGTGAATTCCCGGCATTACCACTGTATCCTCCGAGGACTTTCAAGGCGTAGCCTTCGAGTTCTGAACCAAGACTAAAAGCGGTGTATCGAGCGTATGCCGACACCCCGTCGAAATCCTCTAACTCGATTAACAATTCGTTAACCTCGTTTCCTGAAACATAAAGTTGTGCAAAGTACCAATGTGAAGTTTGCCCCCCAATTAGATAGGATTTAACATACATAGTGTTTTGATTATAACAAGAGAACCTCCCAACCAATTTTGATGAACAATATCTCATTCGAAAGCTTAATTCTTGACCAAGACGAATGTGTAAATGGTCGATTCCAATGAAACGTGAAAGATTGAGAAAGTATATGAAAATAACACAAAAATTACCATTTGATGGAAATTAGTGATGGAATGGATAGTGATTTCGCCGGATACCGGATATTCGGCATCCCCTTCAGCCGGATATCCGGTTATCCGGCATATCTATCCGGCCATTATGGTTATAATTTCTGGTACATTTCTGAAGTGAACCCTACATTGCCACATTATTGCAATATTTGAATAAAAATGAAATTAATAAGAAAGCTGATTAGATATGTCAACTTATTTGGATCCAAGATACAAAATGAACTTTTTTGATGCTGATTTAACTAACGGAGCAATTCTAAAACGACGTACTTTAATTAATAATTGGCGATATTTCCACAAGGATCCTTCAGGAAATTAATTTTATAGCGAATTTTGAAAATTGTAACATCGAAAATTTTATCAAAACTTCAGATATTGTTTTCTTAAAAACTAAAAGTAATTTTTCAAAACGTGTTAGTTCATTGGAAAGAGGACGCTCTTATTAACACTTTGGGAAATTTTCATACTCATATTCCAAGAAATTGATTTTATACGAATTTTTAAAACTTAATCGGTGAAAATTAAAAAATTCCGAAAAATTTTCGATCATTTCAAAAATTTTTTTCTCAAGAACTGAAAGTGATTTTTCAAAACGGCTTTTTGCATTAAAAAGAGGATACTTTAATTAATAATTGGTGATATTTCCACAAGGATCCTTTAAAAAACGAATTTTATAGCGAATTTTGAAAGTTATCGATGAAAATTGCAACATCGAAAATTTGATCAAAACTTCAAATATTGTTATCTCAAAAACTAAAAGTTATTTTTCAAAACGGGTTGGTTCATTGGAAAGAGGACACTTTTATTAACACTTTGGGAAGTTTTCATACTCATATTCCAAGAAATTGATTTTATACGAATTTTTAAAACATAATCGGCGAAAATTGAAAAATTCCGAAAAATTTTCGATCATTTCAAAAATTTATTTCTCAAGAACTGAAAATGATTTTTCAAAACGGCTTTTTGCATTAAAAAGAGGATACTTTAATTAATAATTGGCGATATTTCCACAAGGATCTTTCAAGAAATTAATTTTATAGCGAATTTTGAAAATTATCGATAAAAATTGTAACATCGAAAATTTTATCGAAACTTTAAATAATCAAATAAAATATCATTTCGGCATGCAGTAGATTGTTAGTAGTTATGATTACGATTAATGTATGTGGTTGTATTAGTTTGTATTTTTGCTTATAGCTATATCTTTTTCATTTAGTTAATTTAAATTTAAATATTGTAATATTATAATTTTTTTTTCCTGTAATTGGCAAAAATGTCTCTATTCTTTTCTGCTCTTTTGTGTGTTTGACCCCGGTCTATGTTTATGTAATATTGTTAAGAATAAAGTTGCTACAACTTTTATACTAACACTTTTTTTCTAAAACATTCCAAATCTCGTGCTCTACCAACAACAAGATGTAAAACCACGATTTCATCCAATTTCACCTTTTCGGCCTTTTCACAATATTTATGCAGCTGAGGGTAAAAGTGTAAAAGAGCAATATTACCAAAACTTTCAAGCGTCCATAAGTGTATAAACAGCGAGCTGAATGATATTGTACATTCTAAGTACATCCTCAACTGTGGCGAATCGAATGAAGTCGATCTTGATAATCGAGTACATCGATTATGAGATATGATCACCTAAACAAGGTCATTTTTGTGTTATTTTCATGTACTTTAGGAATATTTTAGCGTTTTTATGGAAATCGAAAGTTATCAAATTAAAATACTGTACATGTAAAATCCTATCTAATTGAAGGCTAACTTTGCATAGGTGTACACAGTTTACATTGGATGGTTTCATTAATACATCAAGTGCTGACAATTTCATAACATAACCGTGTTAAGAGATAAGAAACAAAAATTGTGAACTTGTTGGTATCTTATTTACCTAACAATACATTTATAAAAGTGCTCTCAACACTTTATCTACTGTTAATCCGATAGCCCCAAAAAAACCGTACCGTTTTAAATGATCTTAGATTGATACAATCATTATTATTAATTAGACGTTCAAGGTGATTAAAAGCAATATAAAACGCAAACGAACAATTTTAACTTCATATTAGTTAATCGCAACGTACACCAACAATGAAGGGTAAGATTTTATATAATGATTTATATTTTTGTAATTTATGAAGATTCTAATTAAATAATAACAATTGTAGCTGTAACTCTTTCTTTGCTTTTCTTGGCATTAATTGCCTATGCAGTAGCTGGTAAGTTTAATTTTCTAAAATTAACACTGAATTTCTAACAATATTGTATATTTGTAGTTAAATTCTTTCCACATGTGGATGATTGTTCAATGTTCTATAAATGTGATAATCCGGGCCTTATGCAATGCCCACCTGGTTTACATTTCAACCCAGCTTTGGAAGTTTGTGATTGGCCAGCAGATGCTGGTTGCACCGCTTAAAATTATGGTGACAAATGAATTTTGATCTAATTCATACATTCTTTTCATAAATAAATATATTAAATAAATATGTTGATTTAATTCATTATTTCTTAATTTTCATAAATTTAATAAGTTATGGAAGAGTAGGAGGAACGTTTACTAAAAGATTTATCAAATGATTTTTAACTCTTATCCTTTTTTTGGCGTTTGGATATCTGTGTCAGCTATTAGTAGTTTATGTTGGTACTAAGTTCTCTACTTCATATGGTTCTTTGTCTGTCTTCCATGTATACTTATGTTCCATATCCCTATTCTCTGTTCTGTACTATATAAGCATTCCAGTCTCCTAATATCAATATATTTATATTTTTATCTTGCATTGTCACCAACAGAAATATACACCCAAATAGAATTCTGGATGTCAAGGTGCTAACATCAGCAAATTGTAACTAATCACAATATATTAATGACAAAAATAACAAACAAAACAACATATAAGAAAACAGGTGGTAGAAAAGACGATCAAGATTAATATAGAATCGTTCACAATAATTCAAAATAATGAAAATATCGATATAACTTGGCAGAATTAAAATATAACATTATAAATGTTGCTAAAGACAAAATTATATCTTACCTGTTAAATAATAAATGTTATTAAGTCCTAACCAAAATTCGCCTCCTAAATTACCAAATCCATGTTTATATTCGTGCCAATTTTTAAAAAATTCTTGTGAACCATCAAATCTATTTTGGATAACAGTCCAACCACCATCCCTTGATTCCATATCACAAAAGACCATGAATGGAGTAGGAGCACTTTCAGGTTTGATCCTGTAAATCCCGGAAGATTTATTTTCATCTTTTAATTGTTTGCAATTTTGTGGGAAAACATTTTCTGGTGTTGTTTTTGGACTATTTTGATAAGATGCAAGCGAATGACCTCCGTAATGTTTTTGATGTAATTCCAATAATCCTTGATTAAAGAATTGTTTACTAAGAAGTTCAGTATTTGATTGAGCCATTAATCTAAAAGAAACTTAATTAAATAAGAATGAAACCTTCAATCTATATTAAAATATCTAATTAGCATAACCTTTTCGTTTTTATAGGACATTATTTTTTATGAGAACATTAACATTTAGTACGTCTCTTAGTGTTTTATTTCTCAGCACATTTCATTTTTAAATTAACTACCGTACTTAATAAGATAAATTAAAAATTATTTACATACTCTGTTTGCGTGGCCAAGTCACTAAAATTCTTCTTAATACTGTTAACATCCGCATTTAAAATTCTCATATTGCTAAGTACAACCTTAACCAACGTTTTCAAGTCTTCGATACGATTTTCAAAAGCGCTATTGTCAATAACATTTCTATCGTATCTCTGTTGATCTTTCATATTTTTCAATTCCATTTTAAGACGTTCAACGTCGGATTTAGTCGCTGCATTCTCCACTTCAATTCGACGATTTCTATGGTGCAATTCATGGCGGAATTTCGTAACTTTTTCCTCAAATTCAGTTTCTAAACGATTTAAACGAGATGATACATTCGAATCGTTATCATTTGTAGACGATGGGGGATAATACTAAAATATAAAATATAATAAAAAGAATAACAATTTAATATTGCTTTTATTGGTAATAGTTTAATATTAATCATGGTTTGAAACCGAGCAAAATGGAAAATACTGATGAGAATTCCGAGATATTCTAATTAAATTTTCCATGTACATAACTCCAATCGAACGGCGACCGTTGTTGTTTCTATCGCGCAAAAACCCATTACGCGAGCTCGGACGGTCGAATATCGCTTCTTCTGGAATTCAGATTGTAGTAATAGCGTGCAACAAGAGGGAGCAACGGCACACAGTACAGGTTCCATAAATTTTCCTAAGAGCTAGTTGCGGAATTTCCGTTACTAGGTACTGGAGGTTTCCAGAGGCTATTAGTGAAATATGGGAAACTTCCGAAATTCAACGTACCCCAATGATATATAAGGACGAACAACGCTATCTAATGCATTTTAAACGTTCTTCAAGTAAGCAAAAACAGAAAAACAACATCCTCATTAAGTGAAGTACCGCTCATTCGTTTTCTAACGGCAATCCGACTCTTGTCCTTACCGCAACGTTGAATTATAAGATCTTATCGCTGCGTGTCTATCGTGTGTTTAATTGATTTACGAATCCTTAAACAATTTGTTATGCAAACGGAGTTGGTTAGAATACCTTTTAAATAAATCAATTAAAAAAGACGACCAATAATTAACATATTACAATAAAACCTCGATATAACAGACTTCGTTAGAACCGACTTCCGATATGTTTAACTATAAATGTTAGCGCTTATAGATAAAATCCTACTCGGGTGATTCCCCGAGTTCTATACGATGTATATGTTACGATTACTGTGATTAATTGAAAACTATTAATAAGTACCGTTGATTATTAATACTAACTAACATGCAGGGTTAAAGTAACAAATTTATCACATTGACCGGTTATTATAAATAATTTACACAAAGCTGCGGTAAATTTTAAAAGAGTTAATCGTAAACACGCAGTGACTTGTCTTTTACGTGCAAAACACGAACACAGTGAGGGGTTAAGAGAGCGATCGAGTGATCTTACGTTTTCATGGTAATTTTATCGTAGTTTTGTTATATTTTGTATACTCTATGTTTTATAGTGATTATATTGCAGTTTAGTTTGCTTTTGTATGCCCTATCTTAAAATGGGAGATTTGGAGGTTATGAAAACAAGATTTAACCAAGAAATTTATAAAATTAAAATGAAGAAAGGGAAAAATCACCAGTTGTTTTCGCGAGTATTTTTCGTTTCTGACCAAAGTGAAAGCATCTAAGAATAAGATTTCTCACAAATCACCCGAAGATTATCAAGGTATGATACGGTAGAGATTGGAAATGTACAAAAACTTATAGTACCGGTGAAAAATGAAAAGGATCAAATAATTTACTACACCTATTTAGAAGAAATTTTTGATAATATTCACGAAACCCATATTTCTATCGGTCACGGAGGGCGAAATCGAATGATGAAAGAACTGAAAAGCAAGTACAAGAATATCACTATAGAAATAGTCGTCGTTTATTTAAATATGTGTGAACCGTGTCAAAAAAAAATGAGTATCCAAAAAAAAGGGTTAGTTGTTAAGCCCATTAAAAGCAACGAATTTAATTCGAGATGCCAAGTTGACCTCATCGACATGCAATCTCAAGCAGATGGCGAATTTAAGTTCATTATGGTATATCAAGACCACCTGACAAAATTTTTACAGCTTAGAGCACTAAAAACCAAGCGCGCCGAAGAAGTTGCTTACCACTTGTTAGATGTGTTCACAATATTTGGAGCTCCTTGTATATTACATACTGATAATGGGCGAGAATTCGCAAATAAGGTAATTGAAGAGTTGTGTCACATGTGGAATGAACCAAAAATTGTGCACGGAAAGCCGCGGCACAGTCAATCACAAGGTTCTATTGAAAGAGCTAATCAGGATATTGAGAAGATGTTATCTACATGGTTGGAGACAAACAAAACTACAAAATGGTCGAAAGGATTAAAATGTATACAGTTCATGAAGAACAGAGCCCACCACTCCGGAATAAACCAAAGTCCTTATGAAGCTATGTTTGGTTGTAAAGCTAAAGTGGGTTTGAAAACATTCTTGCCAACTTTTGATACATTGTCAAAAATAACACGTGAAGAAGATGTTGAGTTAATTTTAAAACAGCAATATGATAATCATCCTGAACATCAAAGTGAAGATGTTGCTACTGACTTAGAGCAATGTAGCAATGAAAGTACTGACCGTACATTCAGAGATTTGCAGGTCTCACAATCATTGTAAGCCAAAGTAAAGACCCACAATTTGTTGGTAATACGACAACCAATACAGTTTCACAAAAAATTCTGGAAGCTCGAAAATTCGCTAAACAGTCCTTAGAGAAGCAAGCTGACAAAATATTGAAACGTTCTAATGCAAAATTTCCAGTTGCCGAAATAGGCCAAAGCGTTAGGTACCAGAAATTGATCGAGCCACAGCAGATAGCCGAAATATAATAGCTGTTATTATTTCTGTTGAAAAGGACAGTTTTTATAAGCTAGGTACAAAATACGGTACTTTAAATCAACTGTATTCAAGGAATGAATTTACTATCTGTAAAGAAAAATTTATTTCGATTAACGAAGTACCAGAAACTGACATTACTCTTAGAGAGTGTGCTTGTAAGGGTTCAAATTTGGGTTCAAACTCGATCGTGCAATAATAAATAATTATAAATTATATGAGAATTAACTTATCTTTAAAGACTTGGTTTAACATTATAAAGTACTTCAGCATTGGCTTTTTTTAATAAGAATTTATTCTTTAATAAGTTTTTTCAATAAAAACATGTTTGATATACAAAACTATAGTGTTTTATTACTTTAACCAACCACGTTGAGAAAGTATTAATAATATCCGGTAAAACTGATTAATATATGGAGATTTATCACATTGACTAATTGTTGTACTTATTATTAATACTAACCGGTAATTATTAATACTAACTGCATTTATTACTCTAACCGTAACATATACATCCAGGACGGTAGTTCTAGTTTTAATTGTTATTCAGCGCTAGATTGTTGTATATTTTTAATTGAACTAAAACGAGATCTACTACTAGACCTAGCACTAGAAAGTTTCGAGTCTTGCCGTGCGTCCTCAGACGCATAGAATCTGGAACTAGAAACATTCGGGTTTAGCCGTATATCTCTTAAGACGGCTAAACTAGAATGTCTATGTCTAGTGTTAGTTCTAATGCAAATTATGCTCGAGTTTTAGTTTTTATTAAGGGCTAGATTAATTATTATAACAAATACAACGTTCTAAACATCTTAATCTTGTTGATCTAACCATAACTTATTACTGCTTATAAAGTTATATATTAACATTGAACGTAATGCAAAAAAATATAACTGGTTTGAGATTTAAGAGAATCATTTTAATTCAATAGCCTTTATTAGCATTACAATAACAATGAACTCATAAAGCTGCGCCCTTCAATGAAATATTTATGAGCAAGAATAATAATTGAATGAATTATGGCATTATTAAATGACTTAAATACGAAAAATTTTGTTTATGAAAAATACAAAAAATACTTACACCAGGTTTAATAGTGGTATAATAACTTGGAGTTCGAGTTGGAATGGTAAAAAGACCGTCGGGTATTGATCTTCGGGTTGTTGTTAAATTTTGATTAGGATTAATCTAAAAAATAAACCGCAAACTAGGAAAGAATAAAATAAAATAAAAATCACACTTACCCCCCTTTTGGGTCGTAATAATTCTTCTTGATTCGGTTTCGGTACGTTATCATTAAAATTTTCAACCGCACCAACTATCATTAAACACGCATTGACCAGAAGGACCGCGCCGAACCGTAACATCTTGTCACGAACTGATCTTGGCCCGACTTGAGTTTCAACACAGAAAGGCGATAGGTTGTAGTATGAATGAATCCAGATGTTTCGGAACAAGGACAACAATGAAAAAAATCTTATTGACAGTAAAATATACAAGAAAACGGAGTCAAGTAAATATTCAGGACGGACGATAGCCTTGCACTATTGATAGTAGTTGTATGAAACGTGATGGGAAGAAGAGAAAACTCGAGGAGACTTACCGTCGTGAAAATGTAAAGTAGTTGTAAAGAGCATACGCTATAATTACTTCAGTAGTAATCTGAAAGGAACGTTACGTTAATGAAACTATATTTAGACTATTATTTATGGAGGTTTCGATGGCATTAACGCATATTATTATGTGTATAGTTTATTTATTGCTGTTAAACGGTTGTGTTGAAGATGATTTAGGATTAAGAATTTATAGTCACGTTTATTCAAATGAAATTGTTTATTATTAAGTAATACAATGTCTTATTTATCTTTATTAAAACGAAATTATTAAAAATGCAATAATTGTTATAAAATTTTGATGAGCTTAGTAAACCTAAATATAACAAAAAAAAATAATAAAACGACAATAAAATTCTAATTCTTCTGAAATTTATAAGGATGGTACAAAAATTGCTGAACAATCTTAAAGATCTACATACTCAAAATGTGGACTTAAACATTGACACAGATTGTTTATTTGGAAACTTATGAATATTTGGTATCCTGTTTGTAGTTATTTAGGAAATAAAAATGCATGTTTAGTTACATTCTTATACTGACTTTGCGTTCTTTGATCCAATTTGAGTAAACAGGCACAAAATAATGGCATAAACAAAAACAAACAGCATAAAAAGTGGATTATTTCAGGTTATGTTTCGGTAGTTCTTGTTTGGAATTACATTATCTGTTGCTTAATATAAATTAAGTATAATTAGTACAAATTGTTATTTGTTGTTTGCAATGAATGATTGAAATTGAGTTAATTTATGGAGCTCAAAATCAATGTGGTCGATGAACAAGAACTTATCACATAGATATGTTTTAAATCTTATTGACTAATTTATTCAGACTGAATCTGTTGCAAAAGTACAACATAATCCGTAATAAATGTGGAAATGTTGGGTAATTTTGGCATAAATCCGAAGAAAAACTAAACGAGAAAAAATATAGTGTTTCAAAAGACTTTTAAAATGAGGTATTACTCAAAATCCCTCCATTTAAGATTTTTAAGGGGGATAGCTCCCGAGGGTTGAGGGTTAAAGTAGGTGAGTTAACTTTTGCATAAAGTTGTCCCCTTCGATAACACTTCGATAATTCTTTACGTGTTTCACCGATTTTTTTCATAAATTTCCAGAAATTGTAGTGAGAAGTTTTCAAATGGACACGGACAACATGTATTTGTACTTAATGCTAATTAAAGTACAAATTAGATTAAAGTAATATCTAACATAACATCAAATTGAGAGAGTTGAAATCGACGGATTGCCGAAATATCAGAACATTATGGTATACTTACCCGATTTTGGAAAAGACTTCAAGGACTTTACCTACATGGGTTTGTTAATTGCTACAACCCCACCTTTTGTTTTTGTTATGAAAAATCATTATGGATACCGCCAGTGTTGTTAAATACCCGGGTATTTATTTTCAAGGGTAAATTTCCTGGATATATACCTGGGGGTATAAATACCCAAGATGGATATTTAGAGGTATTTATAAAATTTAATTTAAATTGAGTTGATGGCAGATTTACAAGCACTTCAAGAATGCAGAGTCGATTATCGATATACCAAACTTATTTATAACATCTACAAGAATGCTACAATGACGGTAAAATTGCATGAAAGTACTGAAGAGAGTACTGATTGTGAGTAAAACAAGGCGAGGGATTTACTGCATACAAAACATCAAAATCAATTACAAAGTCCGACTTTTCCGCTTTAGAATCTTCTCGTTCCTCCAATGCCGTTACTTTCGAACGTTGGCCTTCTGATTGATAGAAATAGGCTTTGTATACATCTTCAAATTTCTGAATCGAAGTCTCTTTGAATTCTTGGCTCCATCTTGTTATATCAAAAACTTGTCATATCAAAAACTTCTATCTTATGCCGTGAATCGAGAATTAAAACTGCAGCATAAATCTAATTAGTTTTACGATAATGCTTTAACAATTTGTCTCTCGCAGCCTGAAAACCAACAATAAGCTTCTCTTCGACAGCGTTTCGATCTGCCTTTCGGTCCCATGCAAATATTTTGCACAAGATTTTTTTTGCAGAAGAGAGTTTCTTCAATCCCGTTAGCAACTCGAAATGACACGTTAATTCAGGATAGGATTGAGGACACTAAAGAACAATTATTTTTTCATTCACCAAATATTTTGCTCTCAATAGTATGTATTAGTATATTGATACATACAACCGCCATAGGCAATTTGACGTACTTCGCTCCTCCGAGTTTCTTGGAAAGTATTTGAAAGTTGACTAGTAATTTATGCACTTCTTCTAACAGTATCCATTCTCTGTCCTCAAGAGCATATGGTTTTAAATCAACAACATTTTGACACAATATACCAAGTCTATGTCTACCTTCAAGAGGTACTTTCAACATATCATTACTGGAATTCCAGCGTGTAGATACAGAAATATTGCAGATATTATTTGCAGAAATACTTACCTGCGAGACTCTCGTACGAGACGAAAGACCTCATGCACGAAATTCGAGACGAGACCAATGACACTCTCGTCTTGTCTTGTCCGAGTATCGTCTCGAAAATGAGACGAGACAAAATTTATGATAAATCTTGTTCCTAGCTCTAACATCAACATTGGGGATAATGAGATTGGGAGGGTTGACAGCTATGTATATCTTATCTATGAGGTTCGTGTATCGAGAGATAATCAAACAATTATCATTGCATGTGTTATCATTTTACTAACCTAGATAGTGATCCGAGTAAAGATCCGGTTCTTGTCGTGATATCTAGTATAATGGTTGCTATTCTTTAGTATCTTGACTATTAGCAGATGGTCATGTTGAGAAGCATGTTGAGTTAATTACCATTATTTCTATAAATTCCTGCGCTATTCGGATTCGCCTTCATATCCCTGATTTTTATCTTGACATCATAGGAGCATTAATACGTTGTTATTCTTTGTGTTTCTCTTATGGTTGAACGTGGTGGCTGTATAATGGATAAACAACAATTTATATAATAATAATAATAATAAGAAGAATTTTCTTTTTTGGTTCACTAATAACAAAATGAATCACAAACAACTGAAAATACCTGGAGATGGTGTTTACTTCTGTCGATAAGTTCTGCCAAACAAGAAATTAACACTTAAGATAGACTTCTGGAATATCAGCAGACATTGGAAAAAATAATGTTATAAACCAACCCCATTTATGTATTATTAAATTTTGGTAATGAATTGAAATTTTAAGAAAAGCGCAAATTTCATTAATATTATGAATGACGTTCAAAAAGGGGCCTAGATTTCATTCACGATGGTTGCCAACAATTTTTTTGGAAACAAGAAGACCTGCATTTACAAAAATTTATGCTACTTCATTTCCTACATAATCGTCTTGGAAGATTTCCAGAAAATTTAGGTAGTATAAGTAGGACGAAAGATTTCATCAATATTTAAAAAGTATGAAGAGAATAGTCGAGTACTGTTACAGTATTCCAAATATACATAATATATTCTCAGAAACCTGTGTATTAAATGAGATTGAACACATCTAAATTGTTAGAAAGCAAGTCTCATTTAGAAGTCAGCAAAATCGTAAAAGCCGTTTAACATTTTTATTAAAAGATCAAACTCTTATTAATCTCTGAACTGCTTAATTTAAATTTTTAGAAACGATTCCATATGGCGCCACATAAAGCTTTTAAAGCAGCTCAGAGATAATTTTACAGTCCTATTTTTTAATTTGTATACATTTTTTGTGCGTTGATTGACCGATTAATCTTCCAGGACATGACGTAACCGTTCGAATTTCCCATTCCAAGAACTGACAGCCGTCACTTTACATAAATTGGTTGAACTTCCAACGTTCGCATCGGACTTGTAATCAGCGTCGGGGCGCCTTCAACTCAAATTTCAGGTCAACGGATGTCGCGTCTATCCCCATTCGAAACGCTGATCAACAATAATAATCATCCGATTAATAGGAACGACATAACGAGGTCGAAATCGATATAGACACCGACCGTTTTACATCAACGTTCGTTTTGCCTCGTTTTTGGACGACTCAAAAACTGAAATGAATACGAGTGGGACATCAGTTGGTTGCCGGATGGGAGAAGCGATATGGCCCACGGGTTACGATAAATCAAATTGGGTCGCGATGATGAGCGGCGCGAATTTACTACCACCATGAAGGACGACTAGTACAGGAGGCAAAATGTTGAACGTTTGTCGTCGTTGTGACGGTTGGTTGCTGCTGCGCGGGATCGTTAAACGAATACGAGCCATTAGCCCGCAATTAAACCGTCAATTAAACATTAATTGGGAACGAGATGGGTCGTCGAAATGGACGAAATCTTATTACTTCTGCGTTTAACTAATATTTAAACCGTTAAGCAAAACCATTAATAATTTAACATAATAATGGTTTTGTTTTTGATTTTACAACAATATGATTAAATAAAATTTTAATTTTAGCATTTATTATAGGGAATAATTTCAATCTACGTAGAGTCAAAAAGTAAAATAGTAGAAGGAACCATGAATAGAACTTCCCGAATTTATGGAGCAATAAAACGACAGAAATCTGTTACCGCGAAGTAGGTACAATGTTCGTAAGATTCGAGAGAATTCCTACGGGTATCGTTCGTCTTCCAGTTGCCATGCACAAACCTTCTCCGGGAGCTCTTCGCGCCGGAGTCGTTGTTCGTTGCAATAGACAGCCAAAGAAACTATATAGCTCCCGGTTTCTATCTTCCGGATAATTCAGCCTTAAAGGTTCAACCGGCGAAGTGCTAAACTAGGAATCGATTTCTTCAATGTGCACAGCGTGTATGCGTCGCGAAATTGAAAGGTTTAAATTTTATTACGAAGCCTTCTTTATCGCGGGCGGAAAGTGCTCCCAGTAAAAAGCCGGCTACAATGGTAAAACTGCGATGGGATGCTGTCTGGAGGATACACCTGTTTAAATTCGGTTTCGGGAACGAGCGGAAGAAAATCGAGGTTGTTTGAATAAACTAGATAAGTTGGGAACTTCCTAAGGAGAGAAT